TTGCCACGTCTTCTTAGTATCTTCTTCTGTTAGGTCCATACCATTTCTGTCCTTTATTGAGCCCACCTTTGCATGAAATGCTCCCTTGGTATCTCTAATTTTCTTGAAGAGATCTCTAGTCTTTCCCATTCTATTGTTTTCCTCTATTTCTTTGCATTGATCGCTGAGGAAGGCTTTCTTATCTCTCCTTGCTACTCTTTGGAAATCTGCATTCAAATCCTTTTCTCCTTTGCTTTTGGCTTCTCTTCTTCTCACAGCTATTTGTAAGGCCTTCTCAGACAGACATTTTGCTTTTTTGCATTTCTTTTCCATGGGGATGGTCTTGATCCCTGTCTCCTGTACAATGGCACGAACCTCCACCCATAGTTCATCAGGCACTCTATCAGATCTAATCCCTTAAATCTATTTCTCACTTCCACTGTGTAATCATAAGGGATTTGATTTAGGTCATACCAGAATGGTCTAGTGGTTTTCCCTACTTTCTTCAATTTAAGTCTGAATTTGGCAATAAGGAGTTTGTGATCTGAGCCACAGTCAGCTCCCGGTCTTGTTTTTGCTGACTGTATAGAGCTTCTCCATCTTTGGCTGCAAAGAATATAATCAATCTGATTTCGGTGTTGACCATCTGGTGATGTCCATGTGTAGAGTCTTCTCTTGTGTTGTTGGAAGAAGGTGTTTGCTACGACCAGTGCGTTCTCTTGGCAAAACTCTATTAGCCTTTGCCCTGCTTCATTCTGTACTCCAAGGCCAAACTGGCCTGTTACTCCAGGTGTTTCCTGACTTCCTACTTTTGCATTCCAGTCCCCTATGATGAAAAGGATATCTTCTTTTAGTGTTAATTCTAGGTCTTGTAGGTCTTCATAGAACCATTCAACTTCAGCTTCTTCACCACTACTGGTTGGGGCATAGGCCTGGATTACTGTGATATTGAATGGTTTGCCTTGGAAATGAACAGAGATCATTCTGTCGTTTTTGAGATTGCATCCAAGTACTACATTTCGGACTCTTCTTTGACCATGATGGCTACTCCATTTCTTCTAACGGATTCCTGCCCACAGTAGTAGATATAATGGTCATCTAAGTTAAATTCACCCATTCCAGTCTATCTTAGTTTGCTGATTCCTAGAATGTCGACGTTCATTCACTCTTGCCATCTCCCGTTTGACCACTTCCAATTTGCCTTGATTCATGGACCTAACATTCCAGGTTCCTATGCAATATTGTTCTCTACAGCATTGGACTTTGATTCCAGTATTAGTCACATCCACAACTGGGTATTGTTTTGCTTTGGCTCCATCCCTTCATTCTTTCTGGAGTTATTTCTCCACTGATCACCAGTAGCATGTTGGGCACCTACCGACCTGAGGAGTTCATCTTTCAGTGTCCTATCTTTTTGCCTTTTCACACTGTTCATGGGGTTCTCAAGGCAAGAATATTGAAGTGGTTTGCCATTCCCTTCTCCAGTGGACTACATTCTGTCAGACCTTTCCACTGTGACCCGTCCATCTTGGATGGCCCCACACGGCATGGCTTAGTTTCACTGAGTTAGAGAAGCTGTGGTCCTGTGATCAGATTGGCTAGTTTTCTGTGACTATGGTTTCAGTGTGTCTGCCCTCTGGTAACCTCTCACAGGTTGCTTAAATACTTAGCCCACTCATTTCCATCTCTTTTCAAATACACCCATTTAAGCCTATGAGTTAATCTCTTCAGTACTACCTTGAAGAAGGACTCACCCAGTTCTTTCCGACTCTTTGCAACCCCACGGACTATACAGGCCGTGGAATTCTCCAGGCCAGAATACTTGAGTGGGTAGCCATTCCCTTCTTCAGGAGATCTTCCCAACCCAGGGATCAAACCCAGGTCTCCCTCATTGCAGGCAGATTCTTTACCAGCTGAGCCACAAGGGATGTGATGTTTTATTCTGTAAAGGCTTGGCATGCTGCAGTCCATGGGGTGGCAGAGAGTCAGACACCACTGAGCGACTGAACTGACTGTAGAAGTTTAATTTCCACAGTTATTTCTTCTGTGACCCACTTAATTACTTTTAAATTTCTAAACATGACAATGCTTTATCTTTTGATTTGTAATTAGACTGTACTGTGGGCTGCACAGTGATAATCTCCCATTAGCTACAACTTGCTTCATGACTTGCTATAAGGTCAAATTTCATAAATGTTCTGTGTACTTAAAAAATGTCCATGATCTAATTATTGGTTTCAGGGTTCTATAGCATCCCAAGATTGTTAATTCTTTATTCAAATTTTCATTCCTATTTTATTTACTTGATGTATTAACTACTGAGAAGTGTGTTAAAAATACTGATTATAAAGTTCTCCATATTTGGGGTTATTTTTTATATTATACACAAATTCATGGCATTTACTTTTTCCTAGAAATATTTAAGTCTTCCTAGTGATCATCTCATTCTTAAGGAATGAACCTCTTATGCCTTGTTAATGTTTTTGCATTAGTCTCATTTTTATTAAACACATCTATGACAGCTTCAGTGGGGTGGGGGTCCTTGCGTTAGAATATTTTAGATGCTTTATTGATAAACATCACTATAATTATTTGTTTGCTGTTTTTAAAAGAAATCCCACCCCAGAGTCTCCCTGCTTTCTCTGGTAAGTTTATTCTGTTTACATTTATTTTGATAACTGCTTTGTTTTCAATATACCATGCATTTTCTTTTTCTTTCCTTTTTTTAAGTTTTCCTTACAATTTTAACAGAACTACTTGAAAGTAGAATCAATTTTATTAATCTTTCTAAACAATAGGACCTCAGAAAGCTTACTCAGACTACTACTCTCCTTCAATTCTTATGCATTTATTTACTGTATTGTTTTATATAATCAAACTGTCCCAATTTGTCTATATGTTTACCAATTTCTTTGCTAACTTTGCATCTTTCATCCTCTTGTACATTCTGAATTCAGTTCCCTTTTATCAAAGTTCAACTACCTTCAGCAGTTCTTTCAGTAATAGTCTATCAGTAGCAAACTCTCCATCCCCATCTGAAAACGCTCAGTTTAACCAATGACGGTTATGTTATTTTTCCTCAGCACTTTGAAATACTAATCTAGAGATCTTTTACCTCTATTCATGCTGTTGATAAATCCGCTAAACTAATTGCTGTTCAGTTTCAAGTGACTTGTCTTCTCTCTCTGGTTCCTTTATTAATAAGTTTCTCTATATATTTACCATCCAGTGATTTCACTACAGAGTACAGTCCATATTTTTTCCTACATAAGTACATAGAGTGTCTATTTTTAGGCACAGTCACAGTAAGTGATTTTAGAATGACCATTTTCTTAATTCTCCCAAAGGGTTTTCAGAACCAACACCACACTATATGTATAAAAGGCATTAATTTACTACATACCCTAGGACAATGACTGTCAAACTTTAGAAGGCAACAGAAACACCTAGGAAACCTATTTAAAAACTTGGACTCCATCCAAGTCTTCTGATTCAGGACATCTGGGGTATTCCCATTTCCAACAAGTTTCCAGGCTGATGCTGCTGGTAGTGGAATCATGCTTTCAGAAGCACTTCCTTAGGGACTAGGAATAATTATCTCAGGGAATCCCCACTCAGAAGGACTGCAGGAATTTGTTGTTTCTTAAATCTAGAGGTTAGTCTTTACCATCAATATAAACCATGTTTGGCTGTAAATATTACCCTTTCCCATTTCTCCTCATAGAAATCCAACTATATAAATAACAGCAGCTAACAGTTCATCATCTGACCAGAAATGCTCTAGTTCATTCTTCACAGTCCTCAAGGTAAAAACAGAATTTGACCCTATCATTCCCCTATTCAATTGTTCACTGGCTCCTCTACAACCTCAGGGACAGTTCTTTATGGGGGAGAGACACATGGGCTTCAGAGTACATGCAAATTTTTTAGTGTTTACACTATGCTTATATTACACACACTTTTTACGACACTACCAAATAGGTCTGTAATCAAAGCATGTTAAAACTTGCTAACCTATTAAATTCAAATGAGTCAGTGTGATTCAAAAGCTTTTCAGCTTTTCATGACCCATGCCTGCATCCTATACCCCATGCCTTGTGCCATTCTGAGCACACCACGATTTCAAACTTTTACCATTATATCCATATTATCTCCACCTATAAAAGAATGCCCAATAGGCCTCTCATAGGCCTGACAAACACCTACTCATCTTCTCAAAAGGTTTAATATCACCTTTGCCCAGAAAATTTCCCCAACCTACTAAGGGTTGCCTAATTAGTTGCTCCTTTTACCGATTCTCTCAGCACTTTGTACAAACATACACAACTACTTTTCAACCTTCTAAATAATGGTCCAAACATGTTGTCTAAAATATGACTTTTCCTTAGACTCTATAGACTATTTCTAGAAGATATATTTATAATCTAAGAATTTCCATGTTTCTTTTCATCTAGACTTTCAAAGGAACCAGACATTCATTGGGAGTAAATGTACCTAGTTCTATTTTCAGTTTCTACACAAAATACCGCAAGCATGTAAACAAGATTTGTCCCTCTAAGATCTAGCATCTGTAATGTGAATAAAACCAACACAACATTTAAGGGGTAATCAAATCTAAGAACTCAAAAATTTTCATAGAAAAAAAGGACTCTCGTATTTCCTACACAAGTCTACTCGGCTTACCTGTTTAAACACTGATATATATATATACTACAAATTTGAGAAGATTCCTCTCATTATTCATTAAACACCCTCTCATTCAAAAATATCTCTTTATAAAGGTATACACCATATAAAGAGAATCACAGTGACTGGTTCTCTCCAGGGGCAAAGGATGGGAGTATGAGGTCCCTTCACTTACCATTTTTCAAATATGTATCATCTAATTTTTTTTTAAACAATGTTACATATTACTTTAACAATAAGAAAAATATAATGAAAAGTGAAAAATGCCATATTCTATGCTATGCCATTTAAGAAAAAAGTTTAACTATGAAACTATTTTAATATATTATTCTTACCAGATTTAAGACCTGAAATTTTGAAGATGGCACTTGGTTTCCCATTTGTGACAAATCCTAGGAGTTGCCATACTGGCATTCCATTTGAATCAGGATAGGAAAAGTAGACAGAGCCTCCCATTCCTTCAGGAAATGGGATTGTTCCCAGCATAAAAACCACAACATGGTTGATATTTTCATAATCAGGCAAGTCAAAAACAAATTTATCCTCTGCCACTTGCTGTGCAGCTGTTTGCACCTAGAAAATAAGAAACTCACCTTAGTTCAATAGTTTGGTAAGTTACTATAGCCCTTTTAGTGTTGCTGTAAGCTCTGTTAACAGATACAGTTGACTACTGTCATCATATCAAGCCTAACAATGGGTGAATCTGATACTCTAACTATGGAATTACCAAATACACCAAAAAGTGCTAACTTTAACAGAAAACCTAAATATATATATCTAGGCTTAAAATGATTTAATGAATGCAATCTTTTAAAAACATGACTAAATTATTTGAGAAGTGCCCAGAAAAGACTTTACTTACATAATAAATCACTACAGCTTCAAAATGTTAGAAAAATGAAACACCACACCATAAAAGCCTTATCTTCTAGTTTGAAGGTAAAGAAACTCCAGGTAATTAAAATGAGTAAGCAATCCAGAAGTTGTTACTGTCAATTCTCATTATTTGCAGATTCCCTATCTGTAATTTTGCCTACTCACTAAAATATATTTGTAACCCCCAAATTACTAACCTTCTGTTTAATAGAGAATAAAACAGAAGAAAGAACATACACCAAACTGCCCATATTAGTATTAATTTTATCAGTTTTTCACATGCACACAATATTAAAGGCATATAAAATAATGGTATGTACAAATCCTCAAGCAATATAAACATTTCTTAATGCCAACTCTGTCAAAAGCACCAGACATTCAGTTAATTTGTATTATGACACTCTAATCCTCAACTCGAGGTAAAAAAAGGACCTCTTTTACTTAAGAAAAGTTTTCAAGGAATGAAAATTGACTTCATAATTTTAGATTAGATGGCCTTTTTTAGTAAAAGAATAATATTGTTAAGTGTCAAGGTACTCTAGGTCTCTTTGCCCTTTATTTCGATTAACATGTTCAAATATTGCAGAATTAGAGAGTCAAACACTCTAGAAAGTCAAACACTCTCTAATGGAAAAAATGTTGCCATCAACGAACCCCTCCTGGATATCCATTAGAGAGATGAGGTATTAGGTAAATACACAAAGGCACTGCTGTAACTAAATTCCTTGCAAATTAGTTAGCAACACAAATTCCATAGGGCGTTTCTATTCTTCAGAAAAACACACATATTTTAAATGCCATTCATTAATAAAATTCATCTGAGTTCCGCGGGTGGTCTTGTCATTTTTCCTATCAGGGGCAGGTGCAATCCAAACTTATCTCACCAGTATTATCTACTACCATTGCCAAAAGGCATCTCTCAGCCATTTAGGGTACAGACAAATTTTCTGAGGATAGCCATCTCCAATTTATCTCTCTAGTTCCTTACACTGTGTACAGACTACATTGTTTTTTTAAAAAATTGATGAAAAACTTAACAAAGAAGCTGCAACATTTAACAAAGTAGGGAGAAAACATAAAAAGAACTCTTGGTGAAAAAAGAATCAGGTCTGAAATGAACCTGAATGGTTTCTATGGAGGCAAGCAAGATTCACCCTCCAGATTATTCCTCAACAATTCCAGGTACTCATTTACCTAACAATTCATCAAGGAAGACAATCTCCTTTTTCACCAATAAGAAAACTCGCTGCTCACACCACTTGAAGTCATCAGAGGCACGGCTCCCGATTTAAGTTTCACGAATTTCTACCAATCAACTTCAAATTACGTTAAGCCTATTTTTATTAGAGCCCTTCCAAAGGGACCCAGAAGTTAAACACTGACCGAGCATCTTAACCTTCGACAGGCTGGACGCTACAGGCTAGATCAAATGCCAGTATTCACCTCGAATTCCCTTTCTGAGCTCAGGCGAGTATTTATACTGCCAACTGAGCTTAAGTTCCTCAACTGCAAAATGAAAATGAGAAGTACCACCTCACGAGTTACGGCTTAAGTTTGCGGTGCCAAACAAGCGCTACAAAGAAGGCTGAGATGAAGCGCTGTGAACAAAAGGCGTGCGCTGTCTAGGGTAAGGCACACGCAAGAAGCGGCAGTGAATACTGGGACTGCTATCAAGAGCGCTGGGGGCAAAGAAGGGCGCAAACCCAGCCCCCACGCTCACGCTCTCCGCCGGAAAGCAGACGAAAGGGGGTCTTCCCCGAATCCGGCGCACCCCGCCCCCCCCACTCCCCGTGGCCTCGCCCTTGGGGTGTCGCCCTCTTCCTAAGACCATCCGACCCTTTCCTCACCAGCCTCCCCGCCACCAAGCAGCCGAACATGGCGGCGGCGACTCCGCTCGGCCAGCAGGGACGCGAGGCCGAGGACTAGAAGTCTAGGCTACTGCCGTGGTCGAGCCCAAGAACCTTCCAGAACGTGGACTAGGGCGCCTGCCCCTCAGCTACATAGCGACGAGGCCAGCGGCAGGACCGCCTTCTGCCCCCGCGACCTCTGAACCCCCGCTTCCTAACCAGCGCGCATCTCAGGCGACGAGTACTTCCGGGGCTTTAGACAGCTGGGCCGGATCCGGCTAAGACTACAAGTCCCAGGAAGCCCTGCGCGGGCTTCCGGGAAGGGAGCGCGGGGGATTTGCCCTTTGAGTTGGTAGTCCGTTCTGAAATGACAGGTTTCAAAGCAGGCTGGAGATGTTTCTCACGTTTGTGTAACATTTAAGCGATTACATTGCGCTTTTACAATCATTTCTCTGGATCTTTACAAAAACCGTGTGAATTCGTTATTATTATCTGCATTTTGTGGGTGAGGAAATTGCCCAGAGTGACCAGCCCTAATTCTTCACGCAGCACTCAGGGATGGAGTTTAAATCCAAGTCCTGATTCAAATCTGAGTTTCTTTCTGCTATCAGTCAGTCAATCAGTTCAGTCGCTCAGTCATGTCCGACTCTTTGCGACCCCATGAACCGCAGCACACCAGGCCTCCCTTTCCATCACCAACTCTCGGAGTTTACCCGAACTCATGTCCATTGAGTCGGTGATGCCGTCCAACCATCTCATCCTCTGTCATCCCCTTCTCTTCCCGCCTTCAATCTTTCCCAGCGTCAGGGTCTTTTCCAATGCGTCAGTTCTTCGCATCAGGTGGGCGAAGTTTTGGAGTTTCAGCTTCAGCATCAGTCCTTCCAATGAACACCCAGGACTGATCTCCTTGAGGATGGACTGGTTGGATCTCCTTGCAGTCCAAGGGACTCTCAAGAGTCCTCTCCACACAATTCAAAAGCATCAATTCTTCAGCACTCAGCTTTCTTTATAGCCCAACTCTCACATCCATGCATGACTACTGGAAAAACCATAGCTTTGACTAGACGGATGTTTGTTGGCAACCTCTTGAGAAATCTTTCTGCTATACATACACACACACACACACACACACACACACACACACACACACACACACACATATATGTTAGCTGAAAATTATTGATTTTTAAACAGCTGTTTTGTACCTATTGACAATTTTATTGTAGTTCTTTCCAACTTCACTTGGCTCCTCCATTTATTTGCTGTAAAAAAAAAAATGTAAGCAAGTTGTATAGTAATATCCTTGTACTTTAATGGCATCTTTGTATAATAAGAATAATTGTGTTTCTCTCCTAGGGTTGCTATGAGGGTTAAATGAATTTAAACCCTTAGAACTTGGCAGTACTTAACTAAAGGCTGTTTTGTTGTAAAATGTCTTTTTTGTTGTTGTTTTCTTTTGTCTGTGTGTTTTCAGAAAAGGTTCATAACCAGAAGAACCAGTGTCAAGTACTGACTGCCACCAATACTGTTTCTGCATTTCACAACTTCAGTTCCCTTTCCTCTCCAATAGGAAGATAAGATATCCCCTTTGCCAAGGTCTCTGATCAACTTGAAATATCTGAGCTTAGTCCACCAGGCGCCGGCAAGTCTATCCCAGGTTGTATGTGGAGGATCAGAGTGTTTGGAACAGTAGTCCTCTGGTCTCCACTCCAGCACCATAGACTTGGACCATCTGTTTTGTCTCAGATACTGCTTTGAATAGCCAAGCCAAAGATTAATAAATAATCAAAATTAATAGATAATCAAAGATAGAAAAGGGTCTTTCAAACAGTGTCTCCAGCTTTCTACCTAAGAAGTCCCAGAATCTTCAGACTAAGAAGGCCATTCATATGAGACTATTTCATGAGAGGCAGACAAACTGCCTGGACTCAGAGCCCATTTTTGTCATTAATTAGTTTATAATCTTAGGCCAGCTAACCTAACATTACCTTTTCTTCCTTTTCACCATGTATAGAATGAGATAGTAATAAGGTTCTTATAAAGGTTATTACATGTAAAGTAGCCAAGTACTGGCCAGAATATTTGTTGTTGTTCAGTTGCCAGGTTGTGTCTGACTCTTTGTGATCCCATGAATTGCAGCATGCCAGGCTTCGCTGTCCTTCACTATCTTCCAGAGTTTGTTCAAACCCATGCTCCTTGAGTGGGTGATGCCATCCAACCACCTCATCCTCTGTCACCCCCTTCTCCTGCCCTCAGTCTTTTCCAGCATCAGGGTCTTTTCCAGTGAATCAGCTCTTTGCATCAGGTGGCCAAAGTATTGGAGCTTCAGCTTCAGCATCAGTCCTTCCAATGAATATTCAGGGTTGATTTCCTTTAAGATTGACTGGTTTGATCTCCTCGCAGTCCAAGGGACTCTCAAGAGTCTTCTCCAGCACCATATCCAGAATCAGTTTTACTTTTCTTAATTTTTCATGTAGTCATACCCATTTTGTACCCTTTGTAGTAATAAATTAATATATTTGTCTCTGCCTTCTGTTTCCTACACAGGGCTCCTGTAATTCCCAAGTAATAAGAGTGCTAAGAGCATCTTTTTTTCTAATGAGAGACTCTGCATAGGTTCCTAGGTGGCTCCTAGATGGTGGCTCATCACCAGAAACATGAAGCCTGATTAGAAGCTTGGAATTTTCAGCCTCTCCCCCCATTCTATAGAAATGGGAGAGGGGCTGGAAATGGAATGCATCATGCTTACATGAGGAAGCCTCCATAAAATTTCAGTAGTATGGTGTTTGGAGAACTTCCAGGTTGATGACTATGTCCATGTACCAGGATGCTACACCCCAACTCCACCAGGACAGAAGATCCTGTATTCCCAAACCTTGCCTTAGGCATCTATTCACCTGGACATTCATCTTTATACTTTATCATAACTGTTAGTAAATTGGTAAACATAAGTAAGTGTTTCTCTGAGTTCTGTGAGTTGTTCCAGTCAATAATCAAATCCAAGGGGAGGAAGGTATGGAAACCTCCAGTTTGTAGCCACGTTGGACAGAAGTTGTGGGTAACCTGGGACTTAACTACTTGTGATTGGCATCTGAAGGGGGGCACTGAGGGGGCTGAAACCTTAACCTGTGGGATTTGAGGCTATCTCCAGCTGTGTCAGGATTGGGTTGACTGGTAGGACTGACCTGGTGTCACAGAATTGCCTGATGTAGGAAAAACAGTGTGGGTGTAGTGTGAAAGTAAAGACCAGGTTTTTTCTTTTAAATACTGTGACTATGTATTCTGTGTATTTTGATTCTCTGAGCCACTTGTAGTTTTTAACCTTCATGAGCTTATGCGACTTGTTTTACCTGCCTGTCATACTTCCTTGGAAATTTCTTACAGACCCTTCCAATTGGCTCAAATATTTTCTTCAGAAATCTTTCTATGACTCACCTGTAATTAGTCATTCCTTCTCTTACATGACAATCTTATCTAATTGATTGAGAGCTAGTTAGATTTTTGTAAACTATAGTTGCTGTTTATTAATTGACCCAACCTTTGTTATCTGGGATTTGAGATTTTTCTCCATTTGGCTGATGAACTGTCTACTTCTAGGTTGGACAAAGAATTAGAGACAATGAGTTTAGTATCCTTTGTCCAGACTATGAAAATCAGGCTTTTGTTCACCACACTATATTATTGTTATTTGTTTTGTTTTGGGACACAACTGCTCAGCATGTGGGTATCTTAGTTCCTGGACCAGGGGTGGAAGCCACGCCCCCTAGAGTGGAGACACAGCGTGTTAACCACTCGACCACCAGGAAGTCCCTTGTTTCTTAAATACAACAGTCCTTTGTAACTAAAGAAAGCACAGGTAGATACAGTGTATGGAAGTGAAGAAAAGTGTTTCAGAGGAAAAAAATCTTTCCAATAATCAGAACTCCCTGAGATAAGAATAGGCAGGCATGGGATAGGGAATTCTCCCATTCACACTGATATTTTAACCAATGCTGAAATCCACTTATATTGTTAAGGAGATTCATAGAAAACTTGGGAAAACTGACCTAGGACCTCAAAGGTACCTACCAGCTTTCAGACTACATAAGCTTCTGTGGACTAAGAACAAATTGTAGTTGAGTTTTGGCCAGGGAGTCAGGAACCAAATCCTGGCTTTACGTTTTCCATTAACTCGCCTAGGGATGAAGTAATTTATCTTTTTAGGGGTTAGGTTTCCATACTTCTAGAACGAGGACATTGAATTCTGATTTCAAGAGCAAAAATATTTTTCTCTTCTTCTAAGGAAAGTTTCCTCTCTAAAACAAGGAGAACAAGAAATAAAAGCACAAACTCCTTCGCCTTTGAACTAAGAGATATGTGTAACTCCAAGTCACAAAGATATCAGTGGAAAGGCAAGTAATTTAGCAAAGCAGAAGGTAAACTCAAGTACCTATAGAGAAAGATAATAAATACCAAAGAAGTTCAGGAACTGTAGATACCAGGAACCACAGAAGGCAACAGTAAGGCAGTAGATTGAAACATGTAGATTTCTTAAAATCGACATCAGGTTTTATATATGACCCACTTCAACACCTCAGCCATTGGTATGAAATCTCTGGAAGAAATTGAGTTAGAGAGGCCCCAGGCACTAGGAAACCAGATACTGGGGGAAAAAAAAAAGGATTGTGGGGCAAGACTGCCTTGTACAGATTAGGTCCTGAAATAGAGTACCCCGTGAGAGAGGAGCACTTAGCTCACACTAATGTAGGATTGCCACCCAGAGTGGGGGTGGCTTTTCTAAAACATCCAGTTGGAGGGTGTGGGAGTGCCTTTTTCTATATCATCCATGCAGAAAGAGGTATCTCCTACTGAGTTATCCATCGGGGAGGAGGGTCACTTTAAAAATTCATGTAACAATCCAAAACACTTTCATGATTAAAAATTCAACAAACTTTTAGGAGACAGCTTCCTCAAGCTGATAAAGAGCATCTGTTAAAATCCCACAGCTAACATGATACTTAATGGTTAATGTTGAATGCTTTCCTCCGAAG